CATGACCACCAGCCACGCAAATTTCACGAGGATGGATCAGAACATAGCCTCACTGGAGGCAGGCCAGAGAAATCAAGGTGCCATTCTGCAAGATCTATAGAATCAGATTGGGAGCTTAGCTCGCCAAAACACTACCAGGGCACCGGGAACTCTGCCTGCCACCACTATTCCGAACCCTCGTGAACCTCACCAGCAGCTGGACTCCATCACTACCAGGAGTGGCAAGACCATATCTGCTGCTCCTGCCCAGTCCGGGCGAGACGAGCCACTACCTGCTTCAACACCTCCAGCTGATAATGCAGAAGTGGGGGAAGGCAGCGAAGCACCTGCTCCCAAGCCGCAGCCTGTGGTTAAGAAGCATATACCCCAGCTTCCCTTCCCCACTCCCCTTCATAAAGACAAGCTGGAGACAGAGTTTTCCAAGTTCATGGCAATGTTGAAGCAGGTCAACATCAGCATGCCGTTCGTGGAGGCACTGTCGAAGATGCCCAAGTATGCCAAGTTCATGAAAGACCTCCTCACCAACAAGAAGAAACTTGGGGATCTTTCGACAGTGATGCTCAGCGAGGAGTGTTCTGCTATCCTGCAGAACAAGCTGCCCGAGAAGCGCAAAGACCCAGGGAGTTTCACTATCCCTCATGTTATTGGCAGCATGCATGTAGGAAAGTCCTTGGCGGACCTAGGCGCTAGCATAAATGTCATGCCTTACAAATTGTTTAAGAAGCTAGACCTAGGTGAACCTAGAGCTACTAGGATGAGCATTCAGTTAGTTGATCGTTCCATCGTGCATCCTAGGGGTATCATTGAGGATCTGCTTGTTAATGTTGGTGCATTCACATATGCTGTTGACTTTGTTATTTTGGATATAAATGAGGATGTGGATGTGCCTATGATTTTGGGTAGACCGTTTCTCGCCACCGCCAAGGCGCTTATTGATGTGCATAGTCGTAAATTGATCCTGCGTGCTGGTGATGAACAAGCTACTTTTTCTGTGTCTGAGAATGGGAAACACTCCCATTTGCATGATGACATAGATTACTGTGATGTGCTTGCTGATTTTGAGACCGCACTCGCTATAACGAGTGCGGGTACTGACGATGCTCTTGAGCGTTGTATTTTGCTAGGTGAGCAGGCATCGCAGGAGCCATAGCTGGCGGAGCAGTTGGCCGCGTTGGAGAGTGGCCCATTCTTGGAGGGCGACAGGCTGTTCAAACCGATCTCATCCTCCATCCGCATCACTACCTCCCTAGAGGAACCACCAGAGCTGGAGCTTAAGCCCCTCCCTCCTCATTTGGAGTATGCATTTCTCCGGGAGGGGAATAAGCTGCCAGTCATCATCAGCTAGACCCTCACACCCGAGCAGAAGAACAGATTGGTGGCCTTGCTGAAGTAGTACGAGCGGGCTCTAGCGTTGAATATCATAGACATCCGGGGGATCAGCCCCTCCTTTTGCTCCCACCGGATACTGCTAGAGGATGAGATGCGGCCAGTGAGACAGCCGCAGAGAAGATTGACACCGAACCTGGAGGCGGTGGTTTGGGCAGAGATCGTGAAGCTGATGGACGCGGGGACCATCTTCGCCATTTCCGACAGCGAGTGGGTCAGTCCCGATGCGCACGCTGATAGGGTACCACTTCCCACTTTCGTTCATTAATCAGATGCTGGAGAGATTGGCGGGGCACGAGTTCTACTGTTTCCTGGATGGGATGTCTGGGTACTTCCATATCCCTATTGCACCGGCGGACCAGGCGAAGACCACTTTCACCTGCCCCTTCGGCACATTTGCCTACCGGAGGATTCCATTTGGGCTATGCAATGCCCCGGCCACTTTTCAGCGATGCATGCTCGCCATCTTTGACCGCCTGGTCGGCGAGATTATGGAGGTGTTTATGGACGATTTCTCGGTTTATGGAGACTCATTCTCTCATTGTCTCCATAACTTGGAGCTTGTCCTTAAACGGTGTGAAGAAAAGAACCTGGCACTGAGTTGGGAGAAGTGTCACTTCATGGTTCGAGAAGGCATAGTCCTTGGGCATAAGATCTCCAAGATGGGTATTGAGGTGGACAGAGCGAAGATCGAGACTATCAGCAAGCTGCCTCCTCCTACATCTGTTAAGGGGATCCGGAGCTTTTTAGGCCATGCAGGGTTCTACAGGCGGTTCATCAAGGATTTCTCGAAGATCGCCCTGCCCCTGACTAAGCTTCTAGAGAAGGATGCACCCTTCCAATTCACTGATGCATGCACAGCGGCGTTTACAATCTTGAAGGAGAAGCTTACCCAAGCTCCTATCATGGTTGTTCCTAACTGGTCCCTACCATTTGAGCTGATGTGCGACGCTAGTGACTTTGCTGTTGGAGCTGTTTTGGGGCAGAGGCGAGATCAACACTTCCGACCTATATACTACGCCTCGAAGACCCTGAATGATGCCCAGGAGAACTACACCACTACGGAGAAGGAGTTGCTCGCAGTGGTGTTTGCCTTCGACAAATTTTGTCCTTATCTGGTCTTGTCCCATGTGACCGTGTATACAGACCACTCCACGATTCGATACCTGATGAGCAAGGCTGATGCCAAGCCTAGGCTCATACGATGGATCCTATTATTGCAGGAGTTTGACATTGAGATTCGGGACAAGAAGGGAGCGGAGAATGTTGCAGCTGATCATCTCTCCCGGTTGGACGCACCTCCTGCGGACAACCTCGTAGAGGAGATCAACGACTCCTTCCCAGATGAGAGACTGATGATGATGTGCCTGGTGGAGAGTGTCACCCCCTGGTATTCCGATTTTGCGAACTATTTGGTGGGCCAGCAGCTGCCCAAGGGGATGACAACTCACACCAAGAGGAAGTTCTTCTCCGACCTGAAGCATTACTTCTGGGATGACCCTCATCTCTTCAGGATCGGAGCCGACGCGATCATCCGTCGCTGTGTTATGGAGAGTGAGATGGAGGGCATTCTATCTCACTGTCATGAAGGACCTACTGGCGGTCACCACAGAGAAAACCTCGCGGCGAGGAAGGTGCTCCAATCGGGCTTTTACTGGCCCACGCTCTTCAAGGACGCAGACGCCTTCGCACGCAGGTGCGACCGATGCCAAAGGTCAGGTAACATCTCTGCCCGTGATGAGATGCCCCAGAATGTGTTTATAACTTGTGAAATCTTTGATGTCTGGGGTATCGACTTCATGGGCCCCTTCCCTCCATCTTTTGGCAATACCTATATCCTGGTTGCTGTTGACTACGTCTCTAGGTGGGCTGAGGCGCAAGCTTTGCCCACTAATGATGCTAGACGTGTTTGTGGTTTTTTGAAGCAGCTATTCTCCCGGTTCGGGACACCTAGAGCAATCATAAGCGATCGAGGCACCCATTTCCAGGGCCAGTTTGATAAGTTACTGTCTCGCTATGGTGTAACTCACAAGGTGTCCGTGGCCTATCACCCTCAGACCAGTGGCCAGGCCGAGCTGACGAACCGGGAGCTCAAGCGGATCCTGGAGAAGACAGTGGATCAGTCCCGCAAGGATTGGTCCACCAAGCTCGATGATGCTCTGTGGGCATACCGCACTGCCTACAAGACGCCCATTGGTACTTCACCGTACCGGCTGGTCTATGGAAAGGCATGCCATCTGCCTGTGGAGCTAGAGCACAAGGCCTTCTGGGCCCTTAAGCTGCTCAATTTGGATGTTAGTATTACAGGTGTTGAGCGCAGAATGCCGATGTTGGAGCTGGAAGAGTGGCGTTACCACGCCTATGAGAACACAAAGCTGTACAACAAGCGCACTAAGCGCCTGCACGATGCACGGTTGCGGGGTCCGAAGGAGTTTCAGGTTGGTGATCGAGTTCTCCTCTATAACTCCCGCTTGAAGCTCTTTCCCGGAAAACTCCGTTCCCGGTGGTCTGGACCGTTCACGGTCACCCAGGTGTTCCCGTATGGCACGATTGAGATTGCCAACCCGCAAACTGAGCCATTTAAAGTGAATGGCCATAGTCTCAAGCTCTACCTGGGAGACGAGGTCGAACGTGCGGAGTTGGCAGTGGAACTCGCGGACCCTTAGTTCCGCAATTGGCGTCCAGCTAAAAGACGGTAAAGAAGCGCTTGTGGGGAGGCAACCCCACCACGGTTTGCATTTCTTTTTCCCTTTTTTCTGAGTTTTTGTGTTGTCTTGAGTCAGTTGCATGTCTGTGGTGAAGTTCGGTCGTCTGTTATGCCTCGATTTGGTGCTGTCGTGCAGGAGAGGTCGAAAATTTGGGCGAATGAGTTTTTTGGCCGGAAGGGAAAATACCCGGTCGTGGGCCAAAATACCCGACCGGGTATTTTTTGGTTCACGGCCGGGACCCCTTCTGTTTCTCGGGGTGAAAAAGGGAAAACCCCCGACCTTGTCCCAAAAATACCCGACCAGGTATTTTTGGTTCACGGCGGGGGATTTTCCCAAGTCAAGACGCTGCGTTTCCAGAACCCCCAACCTTGACCCAAAAATACCCGGCCGGGTATTTTTGGCTCAAGACCGGGGATTCCCTTGCACTTGGCACGCCGCGTTTTGAACCCCCGGTCGTGGAATCAAAAATACCCGACCGGGTATTTTTGAGCCCGACCGGGGATTTTTGCTATTTATAGCAAACTCCCGGTCATTTTCTCTCTCTACCCTCATTTTTCAAAATTGTCCCCTCTCTCTTCTGAGCGCCACCGGCCGCCGCCCCCTCTGCCGCCGGCCGCCGCCGCGCCACCGCCGTCGGTCGTTTTCCGGCGGTATTCCGGCCATTTTCCGGCGAGCCTCCCGGGTCATTTTTGGCCTCCGTCTCGCGTCCCTCACTTGGTTTTTGTGCCTTAGCTACAGTTCTCCTTGCGTTTTCAGGTGTGTTTCTTGTTAACTGTTCTTACCTGGAAAATCGAACTGTAGATTGTAGGACCGAGAACTGTATTTGCATGCATGAGTTAGAGTAGGGGTGAGGGATGCTTTGAGTATGCATGGTTCTATATATGGTGTATGTGCTTCCTGTGTACTTATTGTGGTTGGTTCTGTGTTTCTTGCCTTGATTCCGGCTGAGTCCTTTGCGATTCAACCGGCTGTGCTTAGAACTGTTGGCCTAGGTGTCCTTAAGTGTGGGGGAAGTGATGAACCCATGCTGTTGGTCCTGACAAGTTTTTCTTGGCTCCACCTTTGGTTTGTTGCTTTTGCAGGAGCATGTCCCTCGACAATCCATTTGTGCAGAACTTGCGCCTGCACCCGGAGTACGCGGACCAGTTCCGCGCGGTGACTCAGGGGAAATTGGCGCGCCACCACCATCTGGAGTGGGCAGTGTTCGAGCAGCTCGACTGCATACAGGAGCTCCGCGCTGCCATCAGCCACCCCAATTGGCGAACGCTGCTGACTATCGAGGAGCCCACCTACACTGAGCTGGTTTGGGAATTCTACACCATCTTCAAGTACTACAGCAAAGCGCCCCGGGACACGTATGCAGTGACATTCAGGCTAGGCGGCTACGCCCGGGAGCTGACCATTGACGGGTTGGCCTATGCCTTGGGGATCGAGTACCACCCATTCAATCGCCACGAGGTCGAGATCCCGCACCCGACCGACTGGAACCAGGACGAGTTCTACCGCCGGATAGCCAGGCTTGCCCACGGGTATGACTACTTCGATCCTGGCCAGACATACGTCCGCACCCTATCGTCGCAGTGGCACATCCTGAACCTGCTCATCACTCGCTCCATCGTCCCCAACGTCACCGGCTCGCATAAGATTCCGAAGCGGGTGTTGTATGCCATGTACTCGAAGGGGTACCCGGAGCACATGCTCCACTTGGGTTCTTTCGAGGCCACCACCTTCTCCCGGTGCCACGGGAAACCCAACCACCTCTACTGTGGCCCCCTGATCACCCGTTTGGCGCGCCATTTCGACATCAGCTTCCAGGGCCTCCATGATTCTTCTGCACGGGGCGGCTCCACCCCCCTCAGCCGGGAAGTGCTCCACAATGCACTCCTCCTGAAGACTAATGGCACCCGTACCTGGGTAGATGGGCTTTCCATGCCTCCTGAGGAGGCTGTGGATCTCGACGACGGCGAGGAGGAGGATGAGGATGATGATGATGACGGGGCCATGGATGGCGATGAGCCGGAGCCCCCGCTCTCTCCACCAGGGGAGCTTCGGCCACGACGGAGACCAGGGAGAGGTGAGTCCTTCTCCGGTCCTTCTGGTCCGTCGACCTCCGGTCCTTCTGGTCCGTCGATGGCTTCTGGCCCGTCGATGGATTTCTTCACGGAGCAGTTCCAGCAGATAGGGCTCCAGTTCCAGCAGCTCGGTCTTCAGACCCAGCAGCTCATGGACCATCAGGTCCAGTTCTACCAGCAGTATTCGGCCCACCAGGCAGAGTACCAGTCCAGGCTGACGGTTGTTGACAAGCGCCTCGGGCGCTTAGAGACCCATATGGGAGTCACGGGTGCTCTCATCGAGCGGGAGAGAGATCGAGGCCGCCGATTGATGGAGTACTCGGAGCACCTGCTCCAGGCTTGTCACCCCCCAGAGGAGCACCACTAGACCACCCGGTGGGATCATTCACCACCACCACCACCGGAGGATGGAGACGACGACCTCATGAACCAGATCGACTTCACCGGTCTAGGAGGCGGCTCCTAGTGACATGTTTTGAGTGTGTTTGTTTTTGTCAGTGTGCAAACTGTCTTGTGTTGGTTCAGTTTCTTTCTTTTTATTTTGGATGCTGTACTATTGGGTTGACCATTAGACCTGACGTATTGTGTTTGAGCTCTTCGGTTTCCTTTAGCTGTGCTTGTCTTGACTGGTCCTCTCTCCAGTCCGCTTCACTCCGACTAGTCTGCTTCCAGTCTCTTGCAGTCCGTGCATACCGGTAACATTGTTCCCCTTTTCCTTCCCTCTTCTCCATTGAGGGCAATGTCGATCTTAAGTGTGGGGGGGGGGTGTTTATCTTTTGACTGTGTTAGATCTGTTTGTGTGCTTGGAGCCTAGTCCACTGTCCAAATTTTTAAATTTGAGGGCTCCAAGTACGTGTTCCTTGCAATTGCCTGCTCAGTATACTTTGAATTGACAGTCTCTATAGTAATGTGCAACCTAGGGAGGTAGTGTAGCACTATGGAGGATGTTGATGCATTTAAGAAGTCTCCTTTCTTCTTCATATTGTGTTGGTTGATTGTGGGAATTAGTGATCTTAGGACTCTTGAATTGTGTGGTGATGTGGACTCTCTACCTGTCATGGACTCCTGTATCATGTTTTTGAAGTAAAAGGTGCTCGAAAATGTGCTTTAAAATAACGTCTCCCGTGCGAATAGGGCGAAAGTGTGTAAGGGGAGACGGGAATCCGTTCCCAATTTTCACCTACTACCTCCAGCCCCCTTACATGTCTTTCCCCCGCACGAGGCTCGAGACATCCGCTCCTGGCATGGCCGGTAAGAGCCGGGCTCCCGCAAAACCCCTGCTAGGTGGGAGCCCCCATTTTCTGAAAAGCAGGTTGTGACCCTTGAAAAAAAAAAAAAAAAAAAACAGAAAACAAGCAAAACAGAAAGAAAAGGGGTTCCAACCATCTTCAAGAAGAAAATAGAGCACCTTAAGAAGTTGAGTCCATGATGTTTTGTTTTTGAGAGTCCATTCGTCCATGATTCCTTTGTCCTCTGCTCACTATTTGCCATGATGCCGACTCGAGACTAGCGTTCTCGCCGAAGAAGCTATGAGATGACTTGTGCGTCGGTTGACCTCGTAAGCTACTAAATGATCTAGGAAATCTTCTACCTATGATCGAGGTTGTTGGTTGCTATAGAGGTCTGAAGAGTTGCATTGGTTTGAGTTAGGTTTGCTTGGGGGCAAGCAAACGGTTAAGTGTGGGGGAATTTGATAGACCAATAATTACACATGTTTTTACCCCTATTCTTGAGCCGTTTGAGAGGTTGACTCTCGTGTTTTAAGCCGATTTCACACGAGGTTATGTGTTTATGTCATATTTCAGGACCTGGCGTTGGAATCGAGGCGAGGAAACGAGTTTTGGGTCGAAACGAGTGAAGTTGGGTCGAAGTGTGCTGGAGAGAAAAAATACCCGGCCATGAACAGAAATACCCAACCGGGTATTATCTGGCCATGACCGGGGATTTTCGGCTGGGCGTCCGAGAGAAACAGAAGGGGTCCCGGGCTAGAGGCAAAAATCCCCTATCGGGGATTCTTGGGACAGACCGGAGATTTCCCCCTGACATCAAAACGTGCGTTTCATTTATACCCGGTTGAGACCCAAAATACCCGACCGGGTATTTCGACCGGGTATCGCGACAAGCAGCTGTTTTAAAGGAAAAGAAGGTCAAAGATCAAGGGTTTCGAGTTTTAGAGAGATAGAGTGATTCCTAGAGAGAGAAAGCGACGAATAAGAGTTCCCAAGTGCCATAGCTTGATCTTCATCACCTTTGGAGCCCGGCTTGAGCTTGGAGAAGTGCCGATTGACAACCAGGAGCAGAAATCCATCCTTCACAGTATGATTTCCGCGTCTGAATCTGTTTTTGCTTCTTTCTCCATGGAGTAGTTCTCCCATTCATCTGGGTATGGAGAACCCTAGATTTGTATGTTAGGTCTGATTGTATGAACCAAAGTACAAATTTCATGAGTTGATTATATTTGATTGAGGCTTGAATGATTGAATGACTTGAATCCTGATCAAATTCCTGTTCTTTCTGCTTTAACCTAGAATGAGAATATCTGCCTAGGTTGATAGAGCACCCTTAATTGAAGGTGGCGAATTGGTGACTTTAGTCGAGGAGCCAATTCGCTATTCTGTACCGAATTCAATTCGGTAGTGTAGGTTTGGTTCGTTAGGGCCTCAATCTGTTTACTCCGGTGGAGGTTAGTCGCCCGCTGGAGACTCAGATTGAGAGGGTCTGAAGACCTTTAGTCGAGACTTCAGGCTGTTTAAGAACCTTCCGCAGCATAATTTTCATGGAAACTGAACTTGGTAAATTGTAATCCGGCTTAACTACAGTCTAGGGGGAACCATATCCGGGTGACCTCTCTTAACCTGAAAACAACCGTTTACTTGCTTTGTTTGTTTATTAATTTGGACTTGCACTAAAGTTTCACTGCTAGATAACAAGAATTCACCGAGTAGTCATCAAATCTAGGACCCGGGTTGACATTAAAACCCAAACCCGCTATACTACGCCTTAGGAAGTGGTTTCACTTGGCCATTTTCTAGGGTGACAGTAGGAGTGAGTCAAAACCTCAGCCATCCGACATCCCAATAGGCAAAAGACTCGACCACCTTGACTTATGCATATGCATCTTATCATGTTTTAATCATAGGCACCTGGATACCCCCATGCTGATTACTCTCCGGGGACTACGGACCAAACATCTCATGGATGTGGTCATATCGGACCCACCACTGTCAGTGTAGTCATATCGGACCTGACACCACTCTGGGTGTGGTTATATCGGACTCAACACCACTCTGGGTGTGGTCATATCGGACTCAACACCATTCTGGGTGTGGTCATATCTCATGATGAATCAACGATCAACACCACATCAGGGGTGTGACATAACATATCATAACGGAGTAATAGCGCGGGGAGCCCTAATTACTATGTAATTGACCATGAGACCAAAGTACTCTTACTTGGTATCCTTATACATGATACATATCTCATCTTGCTAAATAATAATTCATTACTTAGACATGTTCTTGACCTGGCCACAATTGGCTCAGCATAACCAGGAGTCGTATAATTTCACTTCCTCGGGATAAACCTCGTGTAAGTCATCCTCCTTAAACATCATAATATCACCAGGGAATATATATTTTCCCACATGTGCATCCAAATACAACAATCATGAAAAATTGATAATCGACTTTATCATATTGAATTCTTGAGCTTTATGTGACTATCTCATGGTATGTTTAAGCCGATTGGTGCTATTTGAGGGAGAATTAATCCGGAATGGTTGGAAAGTCATTACCATCTTGTGTTGGAGTTTTGGTGTGTTTTAGGTGAAGTCGTGAAGAAATTTATGAACTGGGCTTACAACCCAAAAAGTGTGGACCAAATTCCAGTGGAGAGGAGACTTGGAGTTGGACGGGACCAATAGGATTTTGAAGGAATTCGCAAGGGGAGCAAATATTGGAGCTGAACGTGGGCATTTCATCCAGGGAAACAAAGGTCAATTTTTTCCAATTAAATGGACCATGTCGTTCGGCCTCTAGTGGGGGAGGAAGGCATTTACATTTACAGGCCCAACTTTGCTGTACGAGGTCGGGGGGAATTAAAGGAAGCTGGGAATTCTTTTGGAAAAAAAAGAAGGCAGCAGGGCGCAGCAAAGGCTTGGGACGAGCGAGCAACGTCGATTTGGCGACAGCAGCTCGGCGAGTGATTTCTCCCAAGGCGACGTGAGCTAGGTTCAACAAGAATAAGTTATTTGGTTGTATTTTCTAGTCTGAATTATTTGTTTATTGTTGATTTGGAACATGATGATCAAAACCATATTGTTTTATCTTAGTTTCATCATGAACCAAACCCCGATTTCTGGGGGAAACACCATAGGATGTAGCTATTTCTAGAATTGATGGATTGATTCGTATTTCTTTTCTTCCAATCTCTATTGCATGAAATTACTTAATGCTTTGTGTTGACTGGCCACCAATACATTGATTTGTTGTTAATTAGGTCATTAGCGACAGTGAAACCCTAATAATTGAACATATTTCATGTGACATAGTAACTTATCGAAGCGACGGTGGATTAAATAAGGTGCTATGCGGTCTTTAATAGGATATCGATCTTCAGGCTAAATAATTAAGTCATTGAGCTACGACAGTAGGATTTTATTTAATTGTTTAGTACGTAGTAATTCCCGACAGGGATAGCTAGCACATTCGTGATATCTTGGCTATAGAGAGTTGGATTAAATTGATTGGAATATGTGAATTAATCGGATAGGATAGGTAGTGAGTCCCGGTGTTTCTCCCAGAGCTTTCTCCCACTGAATTTCTCCCGACAAGTTTACTTTGCCTAATTAGTTTAATTATTTTACTATTAGTTAATAATTTCATCAACCAAACCATTTTTTCACTTATAGTTTGCTCCAAAGAATTGATAAATTATAAGGTTGTACCAGTCCCTGAGAGACGATACCCAGATTTTCGGTTTTACTACAAGATAGGAATTGGCATTACGCTTTTGCCCTACAAAAAATCATACCCAATCACCTTCTCGAACCATCATAAAACATATTAACAGTCAAGCCCACAATTTTCAACATATACACAATCATCAGCATAAACAATGTCCATATCGACTAGGACAAGTCAATAATATCATACAACAATCCATGATTCATCATATAGCAGAAAAGTTCATACACCCCTAATCATGTCATTCTAGTTCACCTAGGTCAATTCTAAGCATCAATATAATTATCGTGATACGACAAACCCGGTATGTCGTGCTAATCCCTCACCAGTTCTAGTCGTTCAAACACCGGTTTTAACTTCTCGTACTAAAACGTGAATTTCACGAACGAACTCAGAATTAGAATCTGAGACCGTCCTAATATCTTCTGCAGTATCCCCGTCAAAGTTAATTCTGGGCTCCGGATCAAATTCTCGATAAAAACACATCAAACTCTGGCCGGAGTTAAATTCAGCGATTTGGACCCCGACCTAAATAATTGCCAAAATTCATGGATTAGAAGTAGAGTATTGATTACCTTGCTGCAGGAAGCTCGTATATAAAATTTGGCTCAATCTGGCTTCCGGATACTCCGAAACCCTAATTCCTTCGATCGGAAATTCAAGAAATTCCTGATTCAAAAACTCGTTTTAAAGCTCTAAATCGCTAAATCACGATGTATGGATGGATTAAGCGTTACTTACCGAATTTTTGGATCACTAGGGCTCAAGAATTGAGCTTTGGAAAATTTTCCCTCGCGTCCCTGTGCGCGCTCTGCTTGCTCTGTAGCTCTCTGCAATTAAAAGGAAGAATATGAGATTGCTTGGGGAAAGAAATGGACCGGGGAGTTTTAATAAACTCTCCCATCGCCTGACCAATTTAAATTGTTTTCCTTTTTATTAATTATATATTATATATATATGGTGACTACTTCGGTGCACTCGCAAAAATGAGTGCGTTCAATGCACCCAACTCAAAAACTAGTTTTAAGATGTCGAATTTTCAATTTTAATTTGTAGAATTAGTGTGGATTACCTTAATTCCTAGACCTCCATTTTTGAGTTTTATCCCTAACCCCCAAATTGTAAACCCTAACCTTAAATCTCTAAACTCTAAATCCTTCAAATTAAAGTAAATATTCAATGTTTTTTGTGCAAATTCATGTGCGTTATTGTTCATACATCATAAGTGATGATTGACATCATTTTGATATAAATCGCATGTTTAAAATGATGGTTATGAGGCGAGTGCATTGAATGCACCCAAAAAAGTGAGTGCACCGAAGACACCACCATATATATATATATATATTATAATTGATACGTATACTTATCCGATGGATTGATAATCCGATTTTCGCCGAAATACTATCAAAACGCTCGATTTTAAATCGCGAGCTTTCTAGCGACCGAAATATGGGTTTTGACGGAACATGATGTTACATCCAAGATCAAACTTGGATTCAATGATGATACACTTGTTGAACTAGCAGCTGACCACACATAAGCCTAGGCTTGGAACAAAAGCATCATCATGGTGCTTTTATGAATCCAATAGGCAGTTGAACCCGAGATCAGGAAGACCATTATCTCTATCAAAAGTTAGCAAAGCATGGAGAAGCCTCGGAGCTCGATATGGCCAATGCGACATGGTCACGGTTGTAGTGCTCATAGAAGCACTAGCTACATTGACACAATGATACCAAACTGTTACTGAATACTATGGTAACTTAATAGCATTAAAGGATAAACTAGAAAACTATCAACCCTTGGATTCATGTACCTACACACCTACTAGTCACACTCAGTGTAGGGCTATGCAGTAGGTTTTTACACAAACTATGTGATATAGTTTCTAAGAGGACTTAATGAAAACTATACTAGTGTGAGATCCCAAGTTCTGTTTGGAGATACCTTGCCATCCAATTGTACAACCTTTCAAAGGATGCTCTGGCTTGAGATACAACAATATGGTACTCAAGAGGGCATGACAAGTGTTACTGAGAGTGTGGTCTTGGCATCACCAAGTCATATTCCTACAAACAAGAAAGTCATACCCTACTTCACACATTGTAGATCTCAAGACCACACAGAAGATGTGTGACCACATACTTGAATGGCCTCCAGGAATGAATCCAAGAGTGTCCAATCCATCTAGTCGATCAGTGGAATGCACCTACTGCAAGATGTTTAGTCACACATATGACAAGTGTTTTTCAAAGCATGGCTACCCCTCAAGTTCAATTGGAGTTGGAAGGGACAACAATAGGAGCAGACAATATGCAAACACTGCTCATGTTACTGATGCAAGTAATACAAAGGAAGAGTTCTAACTGACCAAGGCAGACTATGACAGGCTGATGATCTTAATGAACACAAAAACTCAGTCTCTGATGGATCTATGTTTTCAGCTGCAACATTTATTAATAACATACCAAAATGCTTAAGTAATTTTTTTTTCTCAACACTCAAATTAGTATGCCTTACAACCAAGCTTGGATCCTAGACACAAGAACATTAGATCACATAGTGTGTTCCATTAGTCACCTAAAAAACTATAGAAGGATACACAATGTCTATATCACTCTTTTAATGGAACAACAGGTCTAGGGTACACATGCAGGGACTGCCAACTGTGTTGCAGACCTCATGCTTGAGGAGGTGTTATCTATACCATAGTTCAGTTTCAATCTTATTTTACTAAGTAAACTGGCCAAAAATAAGCCTCTTTGTTTGACATTCTTCTCTGATGTATGTTTGATTCAGGACATGCCACTGAGGAGGATGATCGTTTCTTCTGATGTATGTGTATCTTTCTCATTGTTTAGTATTATAATTACTAAGAAAGTCGGTCATTGTACTAGTCTCTATAAAAATTCTTTATTTTTTAGTATTATGATACAATCATTTCCATCGTATTTCGGTTTTTTAAAGAGTGGTTTGGATGGATCATTAGAAAAATGAGACAATTTGGTCAATTGTCTCATTGTACAAAACGAGTCAATTCGAATTGTCTGCCCCACCCGCAGACAATTATTATTGCATCAAAACGTGTCAATTTGAAATTCACCAGACAGAATTGCTTCATCTAAATTTGAGACAAACTGCTCCCATTAGAATTCTTCATCCAAACGACCCTGACATTCCTTGTACTAAGCACTTATAAAAAAAAAGCTGCTCTCACAATGCCAAAGCGGCAAAACTTGAAGAATGGCTAACTATAATTATTCACAAATAACAATCACATGCCTACATGGTTGTATTATGGTTTTGATAACATAAGAGAACTCTACATGTTTTATGCAATCACTCCAGAAATTAAGTGGGAGAAAAAGCTTGAAATTCAAGAGCCCTACCCACATTTAGAATGTGTTGGTGCTTCCTCTCTACCTTGACATTTGTTGGAGGTGTTTCAACACATGAGTTCTAATGTTCAATCTCTTGAACAGTATAGATATCTAGAATATGGGAATTTTTCCAGAAATAGCACCTTTTTTAAAAAAAAAATACAAAAATAGCATCCAGCCGAAAATATTTACAAAAATAGCACCCTTTTTTATGGACCGCACCTCCACGGTGCGTTTTATATGTAAACCGCAGCTGGAGGGTGTGTTTTACATATAAACCGCATCTCTAAGGTGCGGTTTATTATCCTGGGCCAAAACCGCATCTTGGCCAAGCGGTTTCAGGTCTGACCTACAAAAACCGCTTGGCCGAGGTGCGGTTTTGGGCTGACCTAGCAAAACCGCACCTTGGAGATGCGGTTTGTTTCTCCAAAGCAAAACCTCATCCCCAAGGTGCGGTTTTGCCACACAAACCGCACCCCCCAAGTGCGGTTTGTGTGTCAATTATTTTCCGCCGCCAGACAAGCAGCCATGCAGATTCACAGACGTGAGGCTGCATGGCAGATGAAAAACGCACCTCTAAGGTGTGGTTTTCATTGATGATTTTGCCTATAAAAGGCAGCCGGGAAATCTTCTTCTCTTCACACCTCTCCTTCTCCCTTTTCAATTTTCTATTATAGCTCTATATTTCTCTAGTGTTTTTGCGGTTAATGTTAACTCGTAAGTTTTTTTTTGTATTACTTTTTATTGTGAATTGTGATTTGTAATTTTTATGATATTAGTTGAACTACTGTTTTTTTTTTTTTTTTGCCGATGGCGTTCCAAAAGTTCACGCTTGGGTTACGGTGGAATGGTTACACGGAAGAGAGCGGAAAGGGGGTCACCTATGTCGGTGGCAATTTTCAGAAAATAAAGGTCGCTACCAAACCGATGCTTGAAGACCTCTATCAAATGTGTACTAACGTTAGTTGCATGGATGGCACGAGAAGAGTAGATCGTATGGTGTACCGATATCCAAACAGAGAAGGCGGGTCGTTGTGGCACGAGGAATATCTCATAACCACTCAGGATGAGGTAGATGTCATGCTCGAATTCTTGAGGTCCAACAAACTTTCCAAAGCCGAGATGTTCGTTTACACCGAGCCAGTCCTAAGTGTTGGAGGTCATTTTGGAGACGGTCAAACATCTGGTATCCATGGTGGGGGTGAATTATATGGAGATCGTCCCTACCAAAGTTACCATGATCCTCATTCCTATTTTCAGTACCAAGAGTAAGGTGAAGGTCATCATCAATCTTACCCGTCATATGAAGAAGAAGTTCAACCGGACCATGCCAACCAACCCCAGTACAACTTCCAATCAGGCAGTGGTAGTTTTCATAACTACCATTATGGAGTTGATAAAGGTGCCTTTCATAAGTTGGATCAGATGGAAGATGCCCTGCCAGCACCAGTCAGTGACCCCTCCGATGAAGAAGGAGAGAACAATGTCAGTGCAGACAGCTCCGACCCTCTTGAAGGTGTTGATGATTCAGGACCAGAGTCAGACTCAGATAATGATGATGAGGTGGCTAATGACCGTGTACCAGTCCCCTACTACAATCACAATCCAGACGGCAATTGGATGGTCGACAGCGACATGGAACCGCTAAAGGTTCCAATATGGGGTCCACTCACTGGGTTTATGAAGGGCAAACAATTTGGCTCAAAGAAGAAGGTGCGGCACGCCATTGATACTGAAGCAATGACTCGGAATTTTGAATGGCACACAACTCATTCCAACACGAAAAGGCTCATAGTCAGATACCGTAATCATAACGAGGGATGCAATGTTAGGATCCGGGCCATCAACAGCAAGAGAAACGACCATGGTTGAAGAATTGTGAAGAATAGTATGTACCAGGTGATCGTTCCAA